TTGATGCACTTCCTGTGCATCGATACACACTGAACAATTTTTGAAGATTTACCCTTGATGCATCGGTGCACATTAAATGTGCATCGATGCACCTAACCCAGAATTCATTTTTAAGCCCGAAAATCTACTTTTTCAGCTTAATTACTTCATACATCCTACCTTTTCTTATTCTTAACTTACATACTCATATTCAAACTCATTTGTATTCATTAATCACCTCTTTAACCTTAAAATCCTATTCTCCATATGTAATTCAAGAATCATACTCAATTTCTAACATGTTCCAAATCCAATTTTATTACTTCATATCTCTTAACCTTGAGGTCGTGGGATCGAGTCCCATGGAGGGCATTTTATAATTTGGAGGTCTCCTACGGAAGCTGCTCTTAACCTAGTATTAGGGGCAGCCTACTATCTTACCTCCCCCTTACCCCATTACATATGGGAACAAGGGACAACCATTTTTTAAGCTTTCCTTAAGCTTAGTTATCATCTAATAATCAAAAACCAATCTTAAATTTAACCAAAAACCAATCTTAAATTTAATTAAAAACCCAATAATCAGAAAACTCACCTTTTACTCTTGGTTTTCCCGCGTGAAAGAAGAAGAAAGATGAAGAGAACTCTGGAACTTCTTTTCCCTCTTTCCATGTGGTTTTATTATCTTATAAGGGAAATAAAAATCTTCCTTGTCAAATGACTATTTTACCCTTTACTTAATCTAATAATTTGTAACATCCCAAACTATGGGTTAGTGACTAAATGGTAAAGTTTCATAAATTTGGTGATTAAAGTAAAAGAATGGATTAGTTCAATGATTTATCTAGAAATAAATCCTAAAAGTTTTTAGTAATTATCAAATGAAGAGATATTCTCTTCATCTTCTTCTTCTTCTTCTTCTTCTTCTTTCTTCTTCTTCTTCTTCTTCTTCTTCTTCTTCTTCTTCTTCATGTACGAGAGAGAGAAGATCCAAGCTTGCAAAGGTAAGATTCCTTGTTAGTTGATTATTTGTTAATTTTAAGAGTGGGTTTTGATCATTAGGTAATACTTAAGCTTATGGAAAGCTTAAGTTGTCCTAAAATCAAAAGATAAAGAAGTTATGAAAGATTAAAGAAAATGAGTTTCTTAAGGAAATTCTGGAAAAGAGTTAGTAAGTGAATTTTGATAAGGAATTTGACTTGTCATCAATCTAATTAAGGAATATGGAGTGTTAGAATTAAATTTAAAACATGTTAAAAATCTGGTATGATTCTTGAAGTTAATAAAGATGAGAGGATATTAAGGTTAAAGATGAGATAATTGATTATAAATGAGTTTAAACATGTATATGAAAGTTAGGAATATGAAAGGGGATGAAATATAAAGTATTTGAGTGAAGAGTTGATGATTTTCGGGTTCAAAAAGAGGTTATGGGCAGAGTGCATCGATGCACATTCATAGTGCATCGATGCATCAAGGTTAAAACCCAGAAATTGTTTGAAGGTGTATCGATGCATTGGTAGTGCATCGATGCACTCTTTTAAAATAAAAACATAGAATGCAATTCATGCATCGATGCATAAGTAGTGCATCGATGCATACCATTAATAATACAACATCGAATGCATTTTATGCACCGATGCATCAGTAGTGCATCGATGCATACTTTCATTGAAAGATGAAATTGTCATTTTTCTTAGTCTAAGGAGTGAACCATTAGAGTATATTAGTTATAATACTAATATAGATCTATGTATGATGATGTAGATATAGAACGTGATCCCGTTCCGGATTAATTGAAGGATTATAATCGAATCAAAGCAAAGCTAAGGTGAGTGCAATTTAATTTGTACTTATATTATTGAATAAACATTTGGCTTGCGATGAGCCAGTGATGGAGTTACTATGGTAAGAAGTAACTCCTAAAATGTTATTTGATTGGTGATCAATGTTATGATTTGTGTGATTATGAGATATATAAGTTATATGGAAAGTATATGTGAAATAAGATATGAGCTTATATGAATATGTGATATGAATAAAGCTATAAGAAATGATTTATGTGAATACATGCATTTGTGATGCGTGTTATATGATATTAGATATATGTTTACACATACATATGGTATGTGACCGAAGAGAATGAACATGTGATTATAAGATCAATGATTATACGTACATTTGGTACGTGACTGAAAAGAAAAGGTATATGTTCATAAGAGACGGGATATGAATAAGTAAATTGAACTGTTATGAATGTTAATGCCCATGTTATGTGATAAGAGAGCTAGTGGTATAGTTGGCATGCCAAGGGTCGAGGGTTTACCTATGTTCTTCGGGACATATGGACTGTTTACCTATGTTCTTCGGGACATATGGACTGTTTACCTATGTTCTTCGGGACATATGGATTGTTTACCTATGTTCTTCGGGACATATGGATTGTTTACCTAGGTTCTTCGGGATCTATAGACTGGTCCTTCGGGACGAATACTGAACTAAGGTTCGGTGCCCCATGAGGGAATTGATACGAGCTGTGGTGACAGCATTAGTGCACAACCTCAATGTACTCACATACCTTAAGTTCTCAAATGTATACATGGGCTAATGCAAGGGCTTTAAAGATAATAAATAACTTGTTATGATACTATATATATGCTTTGATGTGAAATGACATGGATACTCGATGGTGAGTATAGAAAGGTTCAATATATGCTTACATGATAGAAAGAAATTAGTAATAATGATATGAGTACTGATAAGTATATTAATGATATATGTATAAGTATGCATTATGTTATATGAAATGGTTTGTGGTTTTATTATATGTTTTATATGCCTCACTAAGTCAACGACTTAGCGTGTAAGTGATTTACACGTAGGTATGGAGAGGAGTAAAGAGCGATGTGGAGTAAGACAGGTCAGTTCTCCTTACTCAATGTCAGATCAGAAAAGAGGTGATTAATATGTACTTTAATATATAAAGTTCTAGTTGGCATGTATTCAAAAGAATATATTGTATAAACTCTGAATAGTTTTGTAAACGTTTTGAATAAGTTGAATGTTATAAAAAAAATTTAAATTACTTAATATTTTATACGAATAAATGTTTGAAAAGTCAATGTGACACTTCGGATTCGTATCCGAGTCGGATACGGGTTGGGGGTGTTACATAATTACTAACCAGTTTTATGATTCTTTGGAACAATGTATTCTTTGGAACATGTGTGAGGTCTTTTGAGACACATACTTGATCATTGGCATATGTATATGATTCTTAAGAAATTTTCTATGTGGTCCTTAGGGACAACCTTATATAGCACTTCGGTGCATTTCTACGCGGCATTACGGTGCAATTCTACGTGGAACTTCGGTGCATTTATTTGAGCTGTGGTGACAGTATTAGTGCACAACCTCTATAGACTCACATATCTATAGTTCTCACATGTGTACATGGGCTAATAATGAGATAATTGTGAAAACAATGTATGTAATATATGTATATGATGTGTGATAAGAATTGTATGACATGTATTTGCGCAAGTATGTAATTGTTATATGGAAAACGTATATGAGTTGTATGATTGGATAGCATAAAACAGTCATGCATGATTAGTGGATATGAATTTCATTAGATGTGTTTTTTTATGCCTCACTAAGTCATCGACTTAGCTTGTGAGTGTTTCACACGCAGGTTACAGAAAGTGAATATAGAAGCTGAGAGAAGTAAGATAGCTCATCATCTTTCTTACAAAGTTCATATCATAAAAGAAATGTTTGATATATATTTTATTCTATTAGATGTAGTTGGCATGTCATATAAACGATTTGAATTGTATATGTTCTGATAAGTGTGAAAACTTTTATTTTGAAATAATAGGAAGCTTTCTTTAACGGAGATTTTTCATTATTTTGAACAAGTAGATGTTTAAAAGTTGATGTGATACCTCAGACTTGAATCCGGATTGAGGGTGTTATAATACTGGTCTAAGCATTCCGTGGGACCTTGCCTTTGAGAAAGCCATCCTTCAATCTGACTGCATAGAGGCCATAAAACTCATTGAAGCTGATGATTTTGCAGCTGGCCATTGTTCATTGGTTAGAGCTATTGGTAACTTATGACGCCGAAGATGGGAAACACAAATTCTTTAGATTCCTTGAGAAGCTAATATGGCAGTAGATGCCCTCGCTAAATCAGTGATAAATGGACGCGAGACTGCTCTTTCACCTATTCGGAACTTCATTATTAAGAATATTCAAGGTTCCTCGTATTTACGAGCATTATGTAATATGTGATACTCTTTCAATTCAAAATATATATAATTGATCGAGTTTAATTTAATTGGTATTGTTATTGGCACATTATATATAAAAATTTAAAATCAAAATACTTAAACGCTTATATTGTTCGATTTGTAAATGAAAATAAATCTAAATAATTAATATAAAAATTGTTAACATAGTTTTTTTATATTAAAATATTAATAAAATAATATTTTGTACAACCATTGAAAAATATATTAATTTTATGAAGTAAATTTAATTAAATGACATAACAAATTTTAAAGTGATACATTAGGTTTATATGATTGACTAGAGTTAAATTTAGTTGTTTCATTAAATAATAAATACCATATAAAATTAAAATAATTATTTTATATTTTTTAAAAATATTACATCATATTTTATATTAATGTCACACTAGAAATTTATAATAAAATTAATATTTTTAATCATTAAAAAATAATTTACTTATTTTCATCTCTAATCAAATTCATATTATATTTTTAAAATTTACTTCTTATTGGGTTTAAGTCCTCCAAATAAAGCCAGCCCAAATATAGAATATGAAAATTCGTGAATGTCCTAGAATAGAAAGTGTTGTAGGTTCTGATAATTACACGAATGTGGATAAATGTCCCAGAAAATGATTTATCACCTAAAAGTAGAAAAATCATGTGAATGCTAGAATCCTCCACTATTGCTATAAATTCCCAGACAGATAGAGCAAAGCTTACACAGCATTGAGGTACAACTATCTCTGTTTACTTTGCTAACAAGGTTTCTCTATTTTCAGTTCTGAAAATGTCTCTGATTCCAAGCTTCCTTGGTAACCGACGAAGCAGTGTCTTTGATCCTTTCTCTCTCGATGTTTGGGATCCTTTCAGGGACTTCACTTCCTCTTCCCTGACGACACCAACTACAGAAACCTCGGCCTTTGTGGACACACGGATTGACTGGAAAGAAACACCGGAAGCTCATGTGTTCAAGGCCGATGTTCCGGGGATCAAGAAAGAAGAAGTAAAGGTGGAGGTGGAGGATGACAGGGTGTTGCAGATAAGTGGGGAGAGGAACGTGGAGAAGGAAGACAAGAACGACACGTGGCACCGCGTGGAACGGAGCAGTGGGAAGTTCATGAGGAGGTTCAGGCTGCCCGAGAATGCCAAGATGGATCAGATCAAGGCTGCCATGGAAAACGGTGTACTTACTATCACTGTTCCGAAGATGGAAATGAAAAAGCCTGACGTTAAGGCTATTGATATTTCTGGCTAAATCCTTAAACTTGGATTACTCTGTTTGGAAGTAGTAAGTGGCTTTTGTCTTTGTCAAAGATGAGAGTTTTATGCTATGTATCTTTTTGTGTAACTAAAGTTTGTGGAGTTGTCCAACTTTGCTATGTAGAAAATAAAAGAGTAATCTTTCTTGCTAATTCACCAGTTTAATGCTCTTCCCTGTTTACGATAATACATATTATGTTTAGAACAGTAATTAACTCTTTCAAGAAAACATAAAGAATTCTTACTTGAAACTCCTACCGAGCAACTGCGATGCGCAAAATTGTGTTGCCGATGTCATGGTTCTTGGCATTCAAATGCCAGTTCATTTCATCGGTTTTGATCTTCACAGGCATTTCACAAAGCTCTTCAACCTGGTTGTTCTTCACTGCAATGTGAAATGCAGATTCGTTTCGATCTGTCAAATCTTCGAGACAAGTGTCAGGTGAGTTCACAGTCCCAGCCTGGCTGCAACATGCAGGCAAGTCTCTGGCGTTATGTCTAATGAAACTCGTTCGGGTAGAAGTGGATCTTAGCCAAGCAGTGAATGAAGTGAACTTGTATTTCCCATTTCATGAGCTTTTAACAGTTTAATGGCTGCCAAAAACTCCACAGCTGGACCAGTTTGGTTGATTATATAACCCCAAAAGCAGCTTTTCTTTTCTTTAGAGGTGAGGATGTGTTGGTACTACAGACGCCTAAAGCGTGGTACAAATATAACGGCCAAACCCCACCGCATCATTAAAAACACCGACTAAATACATACATTTTAGATAAGCATGCATTAGTGATTTTTCTTTCCTTATCAATAAATTAATTTGATGCTCAAAATGTTCTTTCCTTACCCAATCATATGATAGAGGAATCTTTGATGCTGCTTTCCACATTATGTTTTAATAAACTCATGACGATTTAGAAAATGTCATATATTCATTCTACTACCCTTAATTCAATCTCAAGTTGATTCAATTAACATAACATATAAATGGATATGGAATCAAATAATATAAAATAAAATTGATTTGACAATTTATTTATTTAATTCCGTGAGGGATGGCATAGTGGAGAGGCATTCTAACATTACATCCACTGTCGCAACGAAATCATTCGCCACGCCAGCCAGCCAGCCAGCCTGCCTGCTACTATTCATTTTTGACCTTAAACAATTATGAATTTTCATTTTAACATACATACAATTGCCATCACAACGGCACCGTTTCATCCACCCAAAAGACGAAAAGGACCGTAATGTACTACTATTCAAAATTTAATATTTTATTTTATTAATAAATAATAAAAAATCATTGCCCGTTCCAAAAATAAAAATCAAAGCCCCTCCCTGCTTGGCCCTGCCTTGCCTCTCTTTAAATTTTCCCAAAATTATCAAATTTCTTCCGTTTTTTTAAAATTCTCTCCTCTCGATCTATCCGCTTCGGGTGAGTTTTTAATCTATTCCATATCTCCCTCTCTTCTTTTTTTCTTAGTTTTTCTTAGTTTTCTTTTTGATTTGTTTGATGTTTTGGATCTTGCAGGTTTGAGAGGGAAGAGATAAAGATATATATGAAATGGCGCATAGAGTAGATAACGAGTACGATTATCTTTTCAAGATCGTCTTGATCGGCGATTCTGGAGTTGGGAAATCGAATATCCTCTCTAGGTACACCAGAAACGAGTTCTGTTTGGAATCTAAATCCACTATTGGCGTCGAGTTTGCTACCAGAACTCTCCAGGTTTTTCATCTATTCAATCGATGCCGCTTTGATCTATCCTCGCGCTTTTTAATTCTCTGATGAAGATTAATTGCTCCCGAAGTTTGTAGAATGCCCTGATAATTCTCTTTATCTTTGATATTGTGAAGTGAATTAGAGTACTTAATGATCTGATTTAGTTTGGAGAAAAAATTTGCATGATGAAGTTTATTGTGAATTCTTATGCTTAGTTAGATATTTAGTACATAAATAAGCTATTTTAACACTATACGACGAATCTGATTGTGTTCTATTGCACCTTGATTTTAACTTGGAAGTTTTTTTTTTTTTTTTGATGATATGCAGTATTCTATCATCAAAGGCGCTTTAATGTCCTTTTTTTATTTTATGTTTTCATAAATAACATGTTGAGCTGAGATGTTCGTTCCATTTCTATTTTATGGAACAGATTCTACATTTAATAAATGTTTATCAATTCAAAACATTTTTTCGTACTATATTAGTATTTTCTTGTTGTTGGAAAGATTAAAAGATTCTCTAAAGTATCTGTGTTTAACGTCTATGTTGAACACATATTCGGATTGGGGTACGGATTATGAATTATGATGCTCCAAATATATGAAAAGAAAAAAAAAAACAAAAAGAAGTTATGTATACTTGTGTCGAATTTATATCCATCTTTAACACTCACCAAATTTGTATAGCATACGAAAAAAACCATCTATCTCTGGTTTTTTATGTCTATTGTATTATTTCATTGAATTGAAATTTAAGTTATTATAATAGTCCAGGCTGTTATTATCCTGTCTTATTCACCCATTCTTGTTAATAGGGAGTACGGTCGTTGTTCATGGCCCCATGATATAAACAATATTTCCTTGCATTTGCCAGTCTGTTATGGTAGATTTAATAGAACCTTCATTTCTTTGTTCACTGGTGATCATGTAACTGGAGATGGGTGAACTGTTTGGTTTGTATTCTGCTATTAGTTTCACGTCATTATCATGTAATAGGTGGAGGGAAAGACTGTTAAGGCACAAATATGGGATACAGCTGGTCAGGAGAGATATCGAGCTATCACTAGTGCTTACTACAGAGGAGCTGTTGGTGCACTTCTCGTCTATGACATAACCAAGAGGCAAACCTTTGATAATGTTCAGAGGTGGCTGCGGGAATTAAGGGACCATGCGGATTCCAACATTGTCCTCATGATGGCCGGAAATAAGTCTGACTTGAATCATCTCAGAGCTGTTTCCGAACAGGATGGTCAAGCTCTGGCTGAGAAGGAAGGGCTTTCTTTTCTCGAAACATCGGCATTGGATGCCACCAACATTGAGAAGGCATTCCAAACCATACTGACCGAGATTTACCATATCGTAAGCAAAAAGGCATTGGCGGCACAGGAAGCAACCGCTAATGCCTCAATTCCCGGCCAAGGAACCACCATTGATGTGGCTGATGCATCAGGGAACACTAAGAGAGGATGCTGTTCTACTTGAAAAAGAAAAGGTAATAGGTTATATCTTTATTGTACTTATTTTTACTTGACTGTGATATTTTTAAGCAAAACCATATGTTAGCAGCTCGAGACGGCTTTTCTTTAATCGACATGTTTTCTTCAAAAGTGAAAGATGGGAGGTTGGATTCGAAAGTTGCGTTTAGAAACAAAGAATGTCTAATTTGTTTTATTTGATCAGTTACTAACATGTAATGAAAGTGTGTTTTTCACTCTATTTATAAACATAATATGAATTATGTATAGTTTATGGTTACGAGAATTGAAAGGTACAAAAGATGTCTTTTTCTTATTGGTATCTCATTAAGATTAGTTATTGTTAACTTGTATTAGATGTGATATATATCAGAATTAGAGATGTTCATGAACAGCGTAAATTTGGTATAACACATTCCGCAATCCAGCCATAAATCCATAATTTTTTTTTAGGGTAGACATATATATATTATTAATATAAAATGTTTATATAGGCACAATCAAAAAATAAATAATTATTAAAAGAAAATTCGAATTTTTTCGGTAAGTTATCTATTTTATTAACAGTATATGTCTTGAAATTTTATTTATTTATATTCATACAGAATTTTTGTATATTAATAAACGTATGTTCACTTTTAAAAATAATTTTAAATATCATATCATATGTACTCATTCTCACACATATGTGGCTCTGTCACTGTCGCAATCGATCATTTAAGTTTAATAACAAGGTTTCCAAATGTAGCAATTGAAACACATGAGCCGAAGTTGATACCGATGGCCGAATAAAACAAGAAGTGTAAACTTATGCTAGATCAATCTAATGTACTTGAAAGATTAAAGAACGTATCGTTTTCTTTAAAAGAATGCAAGCAATTGATTTTTTAATTATATTCGTACATTTATCGTATGTATTAAATATAAAAGTTCAGTAGTTAAGCCTTTTTCAATATTATTCAGTATAGATGAAGATGATATTATTGTTGATATATTATTATACATGAAAACATAGAATTAAAATGTTTAAATGATCAATATTCTTCTGCTGTAAAGCAGTAAAAAATGATTTAGATAATATAAGCATGGTAGATTTTACTTAAGTTTTCAAATTTTCCTCAATTATTTGAAGTTCCATTATCATATTAATTAAGTTCTTTCCTCAACTTTAGTCTTTAACCGTACTAAATATTATTTTGATTATTGTGAAGTATATCTAAAACACGTAAATCATTCTTTAAAAGTATAATATAATTTTAATCTCTACTTTTTACATTTTATTATTAGTTTTGTTTGCATTCTATTTTTAGTTAAATTTAACCTTTAAATTTTTAAGAAAGAAATTAAATTTAATCTTTGTTTTTTTAAATGAGTTATATCATCACATTTCAATAAAAACCCATTAAATTTTTAATAGGTTGACATGACATTTTGTATGATAATCTATATACATATTATTTTTCAAAGAGTTACAACTAATTGGTCTCCGCCTCCTCTTAATTGATGTAATTAATATTGATGGCTCCCGTAAAACAGGAAATGGATTTGTTATATGTGGAGTATTATTCGATCCTCGAATGATGGTTGGATTCTTGGATTCACTAAAGTGATAGGAATTTACTCTATCGTTAAGGCGGAACTATGGGGTATACATGAAGGTATCTCTCACGCTTGGAATCTTGAGAAAAGTCAAGTCATGGTGGAAGCAGATAGTTTGGAGGTTATTCAGATGCTATAAGGAAAATCTAATAGAGGATCGATCTTTACTCTTCTTGACCGTGTTAACGAGCTGATAAGTTGGGAATGGATTGTTACTTTGAGACATATAAATCGAGAAGCGAATAAGGTGGCCGATAAACTAGCGAAGATAGCAACAACAAGAGGTGATGTTCACATGGTATTCTACACTCCACCGCTGGAAGTAGTGAATTTACTACAACAGGATTCTGCTACTTGCAATTCGACAGTTGAGAATTAAGGTTTAATCTTTATCTTTATTTCACACAAAAAAAAGAGTTACAACTAATTTGTTATAAAGAAAAAGATGACTCTACTAAATTTTCATCGTAATTTTTTAACAGGTTTAGTAATAATTAAATATATTTAAAATCTGATATATATATATATATATATATACATATTTAATATATTTAATATTATATTAAAATGGTATTTAATGTATAAATTGATGTCAGTACGGTAAAAGGGTGAATATAAAATATTAATATTTCTGGGAATTAATTAAATTTTTTTAAAATTAAGTGTTGGTTAAAAAGTTTTTCCAAAAATATTTTCTCATTTTCTAATGTTTAGTTGGAGGAAAATTTGTTGGTCAACGTAAATATTTTCCTAGTCAACAAAATTTTCTTTGTGTTTTATGGAAAATGACTTATAGTCTGTAAGTCATTTTCCGAATTTTTCATTTCAAAGAATAAATACTCAAAATAATTTTATTTATGAATTTAATATTAATAAAATATAATATCATTTTAATCAAAATATTAATTATTAAGTAATTAAAATATTATTAAATAAGAATATAATAAATATAAATAATCATTATATTATAAATATATAAAAATAAAATATAAAAAATATTTAATAAAATTTATATTATTTAATCATAGAAAATATTATTAAATATTAATAATGATAATGTATATTTAAATTTAATAATTTAATATATTTAAAGATATTTAAAATATACTAATTAATATTTTAAAAATAATAAACACACTAATAAATAAAAATAATTTATAATATTTATTTCAATAAAATACCAATATTAATATTTTATTAATAAAATTATAAAAAATATTTTAATAATAAATAAATTATTTTACTATTTTAAAAATAATAATATTAAATTTTATGATAAATAATATTATTTATTGTATTTAATATTTATAATAAATAATTTTTAAAAAATCATTAACTAATGAAAAAAATAATTTAAACAATATTTTTAAAATATCATAAAACTTTTTAAAAAAAATATTTTTCGTAAAAAAATATAATTCATTTTATGAAAAATATTTTTAAAAAAACGTTTTTAGTTAAACGAACCTTAAAAATTAATTTGAAATTTCTACCATAATTTTAAAACGTCCAATAAAATAGACCCTAAAATTAACGTCCGAAAAGTCTAGAGGCAATTGAAATTGGCGTGCAGCTAAAGTTGGGGATTATTTATGTATTTTATTAACCTAGATAAACAGAAAGAAACGAAAGAAATTCAGAAATAAACATCCGCTCAAGCTTCCACCTCTTTGAATTGATCATCGTTTGGTGTCTTAAACTTTGGACGGGGAAAGCTCTAGTTCTCAATCGGCAAGATAAAGAACAGGAACACATAAGCATGTTTTTTCACATAGTATTGGAGAGGAACATGCAGTTGCATCCACGCCACTTCGGTCGTAACCTACGGGAAAACCTCGTTTCCAAACTCATGAAAGATGTGGAAGGCACTTGCAGGTTCTTCTTTACTTCACAATTAATAAACTTGTATTGGGTTTTTGCTTTATATTTGTTCCTTTTTAAAGCTGTATTTTTTTAACATTATTTGGTTATTTTTCCCAAATGCTTAGGCTTGGTTCGATTACTAGGTTTGGGGATAAAATTGGTAAACTTTGATAATTGTTTGCAGTGGTAGACATGGTTTTGTGGTGGCAATAACTGGTATAGAAAACGTCGGTAAAGGTTTGATTCGAGACGGGACAGGATTTGTGACATTCCCTGTTAAGTATCAATGTGTCGTGTTTAGACCATTTAAAGGGGAGATTTTGGAAGCTGCTGTGACTATGGTGAACAAGGCATGTATTCCTTTGGATTGTTTAACTATTGATTTCTGTCATCTTTTTAGTGGTTGTTACTAAGATTTGTAGCTTCCCATACAGATGGGATTCTTTGCAGAAGCCGGCCCGGTTCAAATTTTCGTTTCTAACCATGTAAGTCTCATTAAACATCTCGCAAACCGTTAGACTACAGGTCTTTCACTTGGAGTATGAAATTAGTTGTTTCCCGAGGTCCAAGTTTTCCTTTTTTTTTCAATGTTATGGAGTTGAAATTTAGTTTGATCAATTATATGTTTTGTATCTTGAGATAAAGTAGAGTCTTTTGGAAGCAAATAGAATTTGGATAAATAGAATTGAAATTTTCTCGTTGACTGATTTTACTGAACTAGTTCCTTTGTTCGCAAGAGATTTTCGGTTTTTATGTCAACATACGAGAGAACACGAGTTTAATTTTATGAGATTCTTTTCCTTCTACGTAGCAATCTGGGTGAAGATTAATGCATGAGATATGAAGAAGTAGCTTCTTTGCCTGTTTCAATAAGTTTTGTGAATGACTTAATATAATATAGGAATATTTTGTATCTTGATGGTATTTCTATTCCTTGTTAATTGTAGTGAAGTTTCTTTGACATTTACGCTTTGCGACACTCAGATTTCGGAATTACTAGTTTGGCTGATAAATTTTGTCTTTTCAATTATACCTCCATCTCACGTGTAATAAAATTGTGTTTTTCAGTTGATCCCGGATGATATGGAGTTTCAGTCTGGAGATATGCCAAATTATACTACCTCTGATGGATCGGTATGCTCAAGTTCCTTGTAAAGCAAAGTAACTGTTAATTTTCTGTCGTGGAAATTTTATTTTTTACCCTTTTTTTTTTTTTGCAGGTTAAGATTCAAAAGGATAGCGAAGTTCGCTTGAAGATAATTGGAACTCGAGTTGATGCTACTGAGATAGTATAAACTTGACCCTTTCTTCTCTTAATTATCATCTTCACTCAGTTTTTATACTTTTGTGAATCTATGTAGCTCAGACTCCTCTTTTCTCATGAAGTACCCATGTCCAACTCAAGGATATAGGGATATGACCTCTATGGATCCTCCAAATATATAGAAAAATCTAGCCATAACTGTATCCGACACACCCGAGTCCGAGTAACTTAGATGTGAATCACAATCTTGACATCTTAAGGGGGCTTAAAAGTGAATCATATAGAGATTTAGATGCCAATCAAATGTAGAGTATTTTAAGCTCACTTGGAATTGGTAGCTATATTGCTCACACTCTTCAAGAATCTTTCAGATCCAGGGAAGAAAATGTATCTAGTATTCACAAGTCACACCCGAATCCAGATAACGTAGATTTGAAGTATTCCTTAATGCAACTAGTGATGATTACAGGAACGGGTCAACAGTCGATAAAGTTGCATGTATTATGGTTTTAGGGGAAGTGTTCCGTTAAGTGTAAATCGAGATATTTTTGCTGTAATTAATTAGTTAAACAAGTCATCCATTTCCGTAGGCTGTATTGGAGTATTCTTCCGCATGATCTAAAATTCGGTAAATCACATATGTCTATGGTGGGATCGAAAGATAATTTCAGGTCTATATTTGAACATTTAGGCAACTTTGTGAGCTTGCTTATATGTTTCATCCTGGGGTTCATTCTTCCCGAGTATTTTCATATATTGGGAAGTGTTCCGTTAAGTGTAAATCGAGATATTTTTGCTGTAATTAATTAGTTAAACAAGTCATCCATTTCCGTAGGCTGTATTGGAGTATTCTTCCGCATGATCTAAAATTCGGTAAATCACATAGTCTATGGGGATCGAAAGATAATTTCAGGTCTATATTTGAACATTTAGGCAACTTTGTGAGCTTGCTTATATGTTTCATCCTGGGGTTCATTCTTCCCGAGTATTTTCATATATTTGAAGAATCATGTTTGAATATATATGTGAAATACTATCCGGACAACTTATAAGTTTCATCTAACAATGATAATGCTGTTGTTTGTCTTGCAGTTCTGTATTGGAACCATAAAGGATGATTTCTTAGGTGTTATTAACGATCCAACCGCAGCTTAAATCGGATAATCTCTACTTCGTGCTGCAACGTTGCCATTAATTTCCATGCACATTCGAATTCTCTCTCGTTATCAAGTTTAGATAGGGGTCGGTTAATGGATGTTTAAACTTAATTTAACTGTTTTGTTAGGTATTTGTAAGCATCGATTCCATTGTATTTTATTTCAAAGTGTTGTCATTATCATTTCTCATTTGTGGATAAGAATATTTGAAAATTACAAGCACTAGCAATGCTATGGTCCATGTTGAAAGGCACTTATCGTTGGCTTTGAACATGTTCCCCCCCCCCCCTTTTAAGGAAAGAAGGAAATGGTAGGCAATGATGATTTGCCCAACAGCCTGTGATCCAACTTGTTTAATATTACATGATATAAAGAACCCTATAAAGTGATGAATGCTTTGGACTATATACCATAACTCTATAACATTTACTTAATTCATTCGCTGCAAACTATTCCCCGGTATCCGAACGTGTGTCATTGAGGTTTGTGATCTAAATTTCATTTTGATTCCATTTGGAAAATTCAGTGTAATATGTTATATTGAAAAAGTAAAATATGCTTTGTGAAAGAGATAAATTGGGAGGAAAAACGTATCTTAAACATTCAGTCAGTATACTTGTACTGAGCATAACAAATGATTGTGATCACTTCTTCTATCCATTTTTCTAACTTTTGATTGATGTGATAATCGATTTAACCTTTAACATTTATACACTTTCATTTTATTATAATTTTTAAAATTTCAATAAATTTAAAGGTCATTATTTATACACTTGATCCTACAGGATTGGTAAAAACAATCGTCGTCATTCATTAGGGTATCGAGTTTAAGCATCATGAATATTAGGGGGTATGAACATTCAATGTAAAATAGATGAGAGTTATTTTTAAACAGATATTTTCTTGTACTTACTTCAGATTAATTAAAAAAAATTAATCTTAATTATAAAAGGTTGATGAAATACATAATTATTGAGGGTTAAATATATTATTATAACAATAAAAATAGGGCAATTAGATAAAAATATATATATATATATATAAAGAATTATTATCCTCAATTATTTATTTTTAATAATGATAAAAAATAAATTAGTTTATTAATTAAAAAAATTATTCATGATCGAATTTGAAAGAAACGTTAAGAGTATTTTTACTAAAATAAAAAATTTAAAGTAAGATCAATTATCATAAGCTAATTAGAAAAGGGAGTCTAACTTTAACTTTGATCGTGTCACATCCTATTTTCCCACGCTTTACAACTCACTTTCATAAAGTTAGACTAATTGTTAATATATTTTTATTATAATATTTAAATTCTCTACATTTCAGGTAATAATATGATACCAATCGAGTTAATGCTCGGTCCACATTATTAACATATTAAATCATACATGAAATAATATAAATATATATTTGAGAATAATATAAATACATAAATATGAAGGGTGTTTTAAGTTGCTGTATGTTTTTTTGCTCAATAAAACTTTGCTGATATTTTAGCTTCTTTTATCTTCTTGGAAACTATGAAATGCAGAGGAAGCTTTTGTTTTTGCATCCCGGGCTCAAAGAAAGAAGAAGATTCAGATTCTCACAAGGCGAAAGCACATAAAAAGTCTAAACGAAGTGGGAAGAAGAAGAGAAGAGATATTGATGATGGTGACCATGAAGGTGGCTACCAGGGAGCTCCGGCTACCACGGCAGCGACCGCCAATGATTCGGGCATGCCTGCTGCTGCTGTTGTAATGGTGAGTGCTACTGCTGCACACGCCTCCGCAATGGAAGGAAGTGGTTGTGGTAGTGCTCATGGCGGAGATGGTGGCTGATACTATATGTTAATTTGATGGCCTCTCTCTCTTGTATGCAAATGGGGGCTTTTGAGTGTATTTTGTGAATGAATTTTTGTAATCTTAATAGTCGTGGTGGTTTGGATGTAAAGCATGCATTCCATTATAAGCGTCTCTGTTTTCATTTCTGCTTCTTAGTTCACTTTGGGTGTGCAATATTTGTTGTTCCAAAATAAGATTAAACCTTTTTCTTTTCATGGGAAGGTTAGCAAATCGATTCACGGCACTTCCAAACCTTGGTAATCACCTGCAAGTCTTGCATACCCAATGTGGTCCATCAAACCAGGATCGGTGGGTGGTTCGTTGGTCGCCGGTGGATGGATGTAAACCAAGGAATTAGACCCTCCAGCTGGTGAAATTGGTTAAATATGTGGATATTTGTGGCATCTTATTTCTTAAAAGAAATTGCTGAATTATAATTTCTTTTCTATTTTCTTCACTTAATTTTTAATTTTTCTAATTTATTTACTAAACTTTATAAGATAAATCATTTTGTCCACTCACCCATTATCTTTCTAACGTTTTGATGACATGACATTATTTATTTACTTTTTAATATAAAATAATTAAAAAATAATAACAAAAAACCTGAAGGTGGTCGAATGTCACTGCCAATCACTGTAAATGATAATAATTTGGCCTTAAATTCCATGGCCGCTTCGCCTCGACACCTTGAGTCCAAATCCGACCTCCATTTAGTCGGAACTTACTCCAAAGTTCACGAATTTGAGATTTAAAATGAGAAAACTGAAAAACTTCAATCTAGATTCACAAGTTTTAAGATATTTTTTCGGTGAAACAACCACCAAATTCAGACTCGAGGAGTCGAGATAAACTAACCTATGAAATTTGGGACCAAACGACCACCACCAACGACGATAGACAGTGACTGGAATGAGGATGACGTGATGATTGATGACAACAATCGATTGCAGAGTAGAAAGAAAACGGAGGGAGAAAATGGGGAAAAAATAAAGAAACGAAGAAAAAAGTTTTGAGAATAGATTTGAAACGACGTCGTTTTGATTTATATTTAAGTTTTTCAAAATGACATCATTTTGATGCTTATACTTATGCCATGACACGACACCATTAAATAATTAACGATAAAGTAAATAAAATGATTTAATCTGTAAAATTCAGTAAAACAAATTAGAAAAATTAAAAGTTAGGTAAGGAAAATAAGAGAGTACATTTAAATGAGAAACATTGTAATTTACCCTTTAAAAATTAAATTAAATTCATTCAGAAACTTTAACTTTTTGCTAAAGGTACAATTAACTTCGATTTAAGAATTTAAATATTGGTCTTGAGTAGTAGCTTTTAAGAAACAACTCGTGAAAAAAATAACATTAGTCACAATAATCTACATCTAATTATGAAACCACCTCTGTCCGATCAGCTCGCCTAGGGTTTCAAGTAGTTATCGCCTGTGGTGCACAGAATGTTATTCAGCCCATGGTATATGATAACGACTAATTAAGCTACCAAGGTTCTACTCACGGGTCACCACTTTCTCTCTGAAAGATGGGGTAAATAAGATGAACCACCTGTGACTTCACACCCAACACCCCCCACAAAGGGTACGGTAATCAAAGCAGAGAAGCCCTATGCCATGTGATAGCGTAGGAGCCAAGTTCTCTAGAAAGAAAGAAAGAAAGAAGGGAACAGAAAATGGAAGGTTTATGGGTATATAAGCGGGTGGAATATACATTCTCACAAGTGTGTTTTGGAAAGAAAGTAATGACCACAAGCTCAACTTCAACATTTCCTACTTTTAGCTTACATGCGTTCCTTTCTAACAAAGCCACCAACGCTGATTCATGCACTCAATAAAAGCTTATAAAGCTAAAACCACAGCTGAGCCATAAAAAGTACGTCAGATTGACCCTCACTAACCGGTATGAAATATTCTCCGCTAAGAAAAACAATAACGATAAGGATTTTCATCCTAGCTATATTTCGAATATACACTATACACCACGCATGCCTAACATCCTAGAGGCCACATTCTGAAATTTTATTATAACAAAACAGTTTCCACACCAACAACAGATTAGGAATTCTAATAAATCAATACCTTCGGGAACTTGGATTTTAGAATATGGATTAGGATTTCAAAGATAGTGTAAATTGAGTAAAAAATACCTAGAAATGTAATATTGATGATTCTTTCTCAAAGCCTTGCTGATATAGTAATGATGTTGAAATTTCTAGTTCATAATTGGATTTGATAAATCCAAATTTCTATACTTTTCATCTATATATTGTATTGAATCCCAACTATTTCCCTCTAGTGTATACATTTCATTCTTATCATTTACATGATAAAAGAAGTCCAAACTCAAATTTTGAAATCCAAGTTCCCAAATGGAGCATTAAGATTTTAGAGAAATTCTCATGCAGAACTAATTTGAAGAACTAATTATTGCAAACGCATACATACCTTTTAGATTTAAGAAAAGGATTTCAAAGATAGTGTAAATTGAGTAAACAATACCTAAATGTAATATTAATGATTCTTTCTCAAAGCCTTGCTGATATAGTAATGATTTTGAAATTTTTAGTTTATATTTGGATTTGATAAATCCAAGTTTCTATACTTTTCATCTATATATTGTATTGAATCCTAACTATCTCTCTAGTGTATACATTTCATTCTTATCGTTTACATGATAAATGAAGTCCAAACTCAAATTTTGAAATCCAAGTTCCCGAACGGAGCATTAAGATTTTAGAGAAATTCTCATGCAGAACTAATCATTGCAAATGCATACATACCTTTTAGATTTAAGAAATATTCTCATGCAAAGTTAGTCATTGCAAACGATACATGTCAATGTCATCTGCAAAAACTTTAAAGCAAGTCATAACCATCTCAACACAAGTCTGAGAACCAAAAAAATTTAGAAAACAAAGTCCTAGGAACTATTATCAAGCTGAAAACCATAGAGGTTAAGTCAAACAAAAAAAGTAGCATGAACATACAAAGATGATTCATCTTCAGACTGATTTCTTCTCCTAAAGAGCTCATTAAAGAATAAAACTCCGCAACTGAATTGAAGCTCAAATCGAAGATCTGCACATGGCCTGCTCAACCAAGTCATCTAGTTGAAATAAAATTCATCTACCAATTGACCAGAAAGGTGATTTAGATATCTCATATTAGAACATCACTAATGACTACATAATTTTTATTCAAATAAACAAACTATTTGAGTCTAGGCATAAAATCAAATTCACATCCATTACATCAAATAAATCAACCGCAGAAAAATCAGTCAAGGCAGCAAAATGGCTTCTACTTGACTAAAATATGAGGAAAACAAATTCCCAATAGAGGGAAGGCAGCTATTACCGGAAATCTAGCAGCAAGGTCTGCAAAAAGTTGTACTCAAGAGAAAAGCTCAGTATATCCTCATTTATCCCTTTCAGCTGCCAGCAGTAAACACAAACTACATTAAGCAGTAACCAATATAAAGATACTCCAATTTGAAATTTAAAATATTTTATGAACTTCAAAAGTATATGCTCAACATAAAATAAAATAGAATATTAGCATTCAGGACACAAGATTCAGCCACTAATGCCCTTCTTTGCTTTGAGTGATTCAAGGGCCTTCTTCCTTAACTCCACTTCAAGCTGTTTATGTTCAGGAGATGCCTTGTCATCACTTGGATGAAAGTTCCTCTTTACTGCATCCTCACCATCCAAGTTAGAGTCATCATCTTGATCTTTCATTTTAAGCTTCTCAGCATGCCGTTCTTCTCTTCTGTGACGCCGCTCCTTGCGACGTCTACGCTTCTCCTTTCTTAATCTCTTTTCTTCCTTCCTTCTCCTCTTAGCCTCTCTCCTGTCCTCAGTTTGAGAATCATAGCTGGAATCATCATCTGAAGTAGTTTCATGCCTCTCGGACCTTTTATGCTTTCTCTTTTCCTTATGCTTAGTTCGCCGTTTATCACTTCCTTCAGAAGCTGGATCCAAACCATTCTTATTATGATCAACCCTTCCATGCAACATCGGTGAAGTTTCTGCTTTGTAGTGTTCATCACCATCTATGTTATTTCGACGGGAACGATTCTTATCGTCAGATATTTTTCCTTCTCTCAGGTGTGATGCACTTCGCTTCTTGTCTTCAAATGAATCCTCAGATAAAATTGGTGATCTTGATTGATCAGGAGTTCCCAACTGAACCCCTTTTCCAGAAGACCTCTCACTGTAAGGAATGAGCTATAACATTCAGACTCCTAATAATGGCAAACAAACAAGAAGAACGAAGTTATGGTTGCACTATCATAATACCTCTTCATTTCAAGGTCTTTCTTTCTTGATTCTCTATCATCAAGCCGACTCTGAGATTCTGTAGACCAACTGCCTGCCAATTGTTCAGAAGTGTGATCCTTCCAAGGAGAAACCCTCTCCTTATTAACCATTGGTGAATGCCTGCAGAAAAATTGTACCAAAATAAATTCAACATCTAACAACAGCAAACAAAAGTTATCAGATAACTGATTAATTATAAATCTAACCTGCTTCTGCTAGCTCCATTCTTCCTCCCAGTCTCTTGACTCTCCCGCTGGCCTCTCAATTCTTTCGGTTTTTGTTCAAGGCTCAAGCTATCATCATGTGCAATTAGCTCCCTCCTTTTCCTCGTAGGGCTCTCAAATGGACTTGACGACCTTCAAAATAAACAAAGTAAAAAATAAATAAGTTGCATAAGCACAGATAATAAAAAAGCAATGGATTCTGATACAAAGGAAGCATACACAAGCAAACTATAATAGTTTACCTCCTATCTTCACAGGCAGACCGATTCCTCACATGTAAAGGAGATTTGGAGACAGGAGACTTGTTTGGGGATAGTGAAATGGCAGGCACATTATCATCTGCATCCCTCTGATCCACAGGATCTCTTTGCAGATAAATCGCGTCAGAGGGCCTACGTCCCCCAGGAGACAACTTTCCACTCATTCTGCACGTAGAATTTTGCAATATACTTTAAGAAGTTTCATATGCACAGGAGAAATTAAATTCAATCTAAGTTTCATATAAAGATCATCCGAAGTAAAAGGATGTAAACATACTGCTGCCTTTCTCCAAGAGAAAGCAAAGGTGATCTTCTTTCCTCAGGCAACCTGCTAACCAGTGAAGATGATCGACGTACAGGAGACAGAGAACTTGGTTGATAAGATTCAGGAGATTTATCATGGGAAAGAGTTATCGACCTACGGCCAGAAGCAGCTGATTTATGTTGAACAGGAGGTGAGGACCTATGTTGTGGAGTTGAAGATCTGCGATACCGCTGTCGCACAGGAGAGGGTGATCTACGTCGCAAGTTTGGATATCTACGACGTACAGGCAGCAAGGATCTACGATGTATAGGAGAAGGAGATCTGTGAGAAACTGGCGAACGAGATCTACGATGTAAAGGTGATGGAGATCTATGACGTATAGGTGATGGAGATCTACGACGCATAGGTGAAGGAGATCTACGACGCATAGGTGATGGAGATCTACGATATCGAACAGGAGACCTTCTTCGTTGTCGAACCAATAAGGGTGATCTATGACGTCGAACAGGTGATGGTGATCTATGATGTCGAATGGGTGAGCGTAATTTACGGTGCACAGTAGTAGGAGACCTGCGCAAGTAAGGAGAACGAAATCTTCGTCTTACAGGAGATGGTGATCTACGAAGTGAACGAGATCGAGATATTCTCCGGTAATAAGATGGTCTTCGTCTTGTGGGAGAGCATGATGATCGAGGAGTTAAAGATCGTCTTCTCGGGGAACGGTACATCCTATCATTGGAAATGGAGCGCTGCCGAGGAGGAGGTGATCTAGATATATTCCTAGACTTCTGTTTGTCTCTGAAAGAAAACCAAGATCTTACAAGAATGGAACACATATAAAAAATCAGAAGCATATAGATCAAACATGTCATCACCCATTTCAAGCATACAAAGATTAACATACAAAGTTTCACCTCTAAATGCATTCACAATATTAGTTTTAGATTGAGAGAACATACTCAGAATTGCTTCTTGAATTAGAATATGATCTGCTAACTGATCGAGAAAGCAATCTTCTGCATATGAAACCCGATATATTTAAGAAACATTTTTTTTAATGCAATCCAAGCAATACAAGTAAAACATAGTAATAATTTAATTACCGAGGGTGTGGAGAACCATCAGTTGAACAAGGAGATTTAGAAATGCTGCATGAGACAAATACATAAGTGTCAAAAACTCCTTAATGAACTTTTTTTTTTTTTGATAGAAAGGCCCCATTAAAATCCTCCTTCAATCCCTCCATGTTATGAGAGTAACATGATGGAACAACGAAGGAGGAAAAGAGAGCCAAGAAAACTTTTATTCACAAGAACCAGATTACAAGCTTGAACAAACTCCTACACTTCCAACGGAAGAACATAAAACTTAACACAAACATCCAACAAAACAGGGAGGAACAATTCCTGTTAAACAACACAACTATAACCAAAATCACCCTATCCCATCTTTAGCAAGTTTATCAGCTTCCCAGTTTGCCGCCCTTGAAGTATGCCTAAAAATAATATCCTTTCCAATCAAAAGTGAAATTATCCTTCACCAAGGATAGATGCAAAGGAGGGTTAAACCCGGATTCTGAATCCACTTCAGAGCGTTAGAAGAGTCTGATTCCAAGATAACTCTTTGATTTGCGACAAAATCCAACTCCTCCATAAGACAAATCCCTCTTTTGATAGCCAACAGCTCAGCCAAAATAGGAGGACCACCCCCTACTGCTTCAAAAAACCACTGAAGCAATAGACCTCTGCTATCTCGAAACAGACCACCAATACCTCCTTTTTCCCAACCCGAACCATCGCTCCATCAACATTTAACTTTAGAAACCCCTCCGGGGAGGAACCCAGCAAGCAGGTTGAGAGCAAACCTTTCTTGATCTACCAATCGAGTCAGCAATTTTCAAATCACCTACTAGAGAATCTAGAGGAATACCCACATCCTTGAAATGAGCACTAAACCAGGAAGCCACTCTGAATCTAACAATGAAAAATAATCTGACCAAATCCAGCTTGCCTTTCTGAAAGATAATCTCATTTCTACATTTCCATACTGACCACATCACTACATCACTGCCCTAGGAATGAATCTCCAAATCAAAGAGTTAGTCATTAAATCATCCCACAAAATTAGAAATTCCATTGTACACTTTGGAGTCACCAATGACACATCCCACATTTTCAAGAAGGAGGACCACAGACCCCACACAACCCTACAATGCAGAAACAGATGAGAACTGATTCCACCTCCCTACCACACAGAACACAACGTTGGTCAACAATCTCTGCAACACCTCTCTTTGCTAACTCCTCTTTAACCGGTACTCTATGTTGTACTAGTTGCCAGACAAACAATTCCACCCTTGGAGGAGCTAAACCAGACCAAATAGTCTTATCCCAATTCACTTGATTTTGCTCAGAATCACGTTGTACATAAAAAGCTTTTATACAAGATTTAGCTGTAAAATTTCCTTCACCATTCCCTAACCAAATCCAACAATCATCTGCAGTGGGAAAAGGAGAGGTATTATTCAACATAGAAATCAATTGCATCCACTGTTCTACTTCCCAATCAGCCAAATTCCTTCTCATTTGGATGTCCCACACCCAACCCGAAGCATTATTTTCCCTAAACTCTTTCACTTTACCCGATTTATTAATTGAGAGAACATAAAGTCTAGGAAACAACGATTTCAGGGGAACATCACCCAACCATACATCATTCCAAACTGCACATCTTCCCCTTTCCCCGCCTTCAATCGCATATTCCTTTTAAGACATTCTCCAAATCATCACTATTGAAGAAGTTTTTCACGACACCTTTCCAAATCCACGATGCACGAGCTGGCACCGAATTCTCCAAAATAATAGATTTGGGATCCAAATTGTAGGCGGCACAAATCACTTTCTTCCACCAAGAATTCTTTTCAGAAGAAAACTTCCAAACCCATTTTCCTAATAAAGCTCGGTTCAAAAGTGCTAGATTAGGGACCCCTAGACCCCCCATATATCTTGGTTTAGAGACCGACTTCCAATTGACCCAATGGATTTTCTTCTTATCAATCGAATCCCCCCACAGAAATGAAGCCATGATAGAGTTAAGTTTGAGTATCACAGTAGCTGGGATTCTGAACATAGACATAAAATAGACCGGAAGAGAGCATAGCACCGATTTGACCAAAACCACTCTTCCCGCTACCGACAGAGAATTAGCTATCCAACCAGTCAATTTAGCATTAAATCTCGCCACTATCGGATCCCACATAGCAGCCGAATTCCTCTTGTACCCCAGAGGCAGACCTAAATATTCATATGGAAGATATCCAACCGAGCAGCCAATAACTTCAGCCCAATTAGTTAGCTCCCCTTCTTCAACATTGATTCCAAAAATCCTGCTTTTACCTAGATTTAACTTCAGCCCCACCAGTAGTTCATAAATCAGTAACACTCTTCTAATATTCCTCAACTTACGAATGGAACCTTTACTGAAAATTATAAGATCATCCGCAAATTGAAGGTGTGACAGCTTGAATGCTCGATCCTGCAGTCCTAACTCGAACCCCGAAATCAATCCCATATCTACTGCTTTAGTTAACAGTAAATGCAACAACTCCGTAGCCAAATTGAAAAGCATAGGTGAAAGTGAACAACCCTGTCTTAAACCTCTGGAAATATGAAATTTCTCCGTTGGAGATCCATTTAACAAGACCGAAATCTCAGCAGTTGACATGCACTGGAACATCCACGACCTCCACTTTTCACCAAACCCCATTTTGCTCATAATTTGAATCAAAATTTTCCAATCTACCGAATCATAAGCTCTCATAAAATCCACCTTGAAAACTACTCCCTTCAGCCCTCTCTTCCTCCAAAAATCAATACTCTCATTTGCAATGAAAGAGCAATCCAAGATATTCCTCCCCGGAATAAAGCAAATTGGGACTGACTTATAATATCATTGAGATACAAACTCAATCTTCTAGCTAAGACCTTAGAGATGACTTTATAAAGACCTCCCACTAGGCTAATTGGCCTAAACTCTTCCAACCCCTCCGGATTTGCCTTCTTTGGAATAAGAGAAATGAAGGAGAAGTTAACCTCCGGCTCCCAAACCTTTCCCACATAGAAATCCCTAAAAAACCTCATCATATCATCCTTCAAATTAGGCCAGAACTTCTTAAAAAACCCTAAGTTCAGACCATCCGGACCCGGAGCTTTGTTGATATCTGAATGAGCAATAGCTTCCCAAACTTCCTCTTCAGAAAAAGGCTTCTCCAAAGCTAAACACTGACCTTCGGACAACTTGAGAAAATCCAGATTTATTCCTCTGCCTCCAGGGTGTTTGTTTGATTATACAACCTCTTGAAAAACTCCACCACTGAAGCTTTTACTGACCTTGGGTCTTCAACAACTTCACCATCAACTTTGATAGCTTTTATGTAGTTTATCCTCCCTAATTGCTGCACTATGATGGAAAAACCTTGTGTTCTTATCCCCCTCCAATCTCCATTTCAATCTAGACTTTTGCATCCAAATTGATTCTTCCTTCTTTTGTAACTCCCATAATTCTCTCTTTGCTTCAACATAGAATTCATTGACACCAAAGAAGACCCTTGTTGCAATTTTATTTCCATATCCTGTATCTCAGTCTCCAAGGTTCTGATTCTGCTTGGTAATTGGAGAAAACCCTTACCAGCCCAATTTTTTGCGACATCCTTCACCCGGTTAAGAGTTTTGGAAATGGGTCTCGAGTTTTCCTGTGTACCCCGATTGAACAGTTCCTTTGTCAACAGTTCACTAAACCCTTCCTCCTCCAACATATAATTAAACAATCTAAACGGTTTTGGCCCCCAATTGCACTCCCTATTCTCCAGCAGAATAATATTGTGATCAGAAATGGACCTAGGCTGCAGATTTTGATTGATCATTGGGAATTGCGAGAAAAAACTATGATCAACTAAAAACCGATCCAATCTCTCAAAAGTGGGAACTTCCCTGTTATTACACCACGTGAACTGACCTCCCACTAAGGGTAAATCGATTAGATTTGCCTTAGAGACAAAATCTCGAAAAATATTCATCGACGTCAAATTCACATCACCACCCCTTTTCTCTTCCTTCGTCAAAAAGGCATTAAAATCCCCACCTAAACAAACTGGGCAGTCCACCTGTTCCAGAAAGGAAAGTAAATCCCTGAAAAATGGCTCTTTATCAGCCTCCACACTTGGACCATAAACATTTATGAAACAACAATGGTTTGTCATACCATCCAACCAACCCTTTAACGCCACAAATCTAGTTCGGATGACCTTTTCCTTCACCACAAATACCTTCTGATTCCACATTGTTATTAGACCACCAGCCGAACCTACAGCAGGCACAACTTCCCACCCATTAAGGATTTTACCTCCCATTTTCCTACCTAACATAGTGCTAACAATTTCCAATTTGGATTCTTGCAAAATAAGATAGTTGGTTTTTTCTCCTCTACAAATCTCCTAATGGCACGTGCTTTAACCTTCCTACCCAGACCCCTAACATTCCAACACATAATGGACCATTCTACCATCAAAAGCATTTTATGACCATACCCCCTAAACCAACTACCACCCCTCAATCATCTCTATCCTTCACCAAAGGAACAACTTTGGTCAGGAATTCCTTTTCTCCGCCTTTAAACTTTACCCCCAATAAATTGGATACTCTCCAACACTCCATTGCTTCTGTCCTCCTCTGATTCTTTTCTCCTGCTCCAATACCATCATCCATACCATCACAACTTTTGGCAGCCCTCCTCCTAGCATAAACTTTATTCTGATATCCTCTCTCGACATTATTACCCGATACACTCCCCCCAAAAGGTCTTCGCATTGATAGAGACACAGACCCATTCTGCATACCATATCCAACCTGTGTATCTGAAATTGAAGGCTCAGTCTTCTTTCCATTCTTCTTTGGTGATGGACTGAACTGCTCAGGCCCAAATACTTCCCTCCTTCCCATGTTGGAAATAAGCCCATCCTCTTGAACCACTTTATCTTTCCCCGAGGAGTCTCCTTGCAAGCTGACCACCTTTTTTCTCCCATCAGAAAAAGTCCCTGACACAGTCTGCTTGCTGCAACCTTCACCTAGTACTGTCCCCTCGATACAAAGGTCAACCTTTGAACTGTCCTCGGCTTCAGCGCTATTTTTCAAACTCCCCTCGTTCATTGGTCCACCTCCCTGTGAAGAACCTCGGACCCACTCTTCAACCCTGCTTCTAGAGTCTGACATCTGCTGAGAATTAACCTGCCCTTGCAGACCACCTTGATCCTCCCCTTTGCTCCCCTCTGACGAATCCCTCTCCCAAGGAACCACTGTTCCTCCTTGAGAACCATCTTCATCGACCCTTTCATCATCTTCCCCTTCCTCAAGCTCAGGGAAGAAATCATCACTGCTGTCTACCTTAATCTTGATAGTAAAGGACCTTCCAAGAGTATTAAAAATGACATATGGAGGGATGTCAAACGGACTTTCAACTCTTAATAACATTTGAGCCACCCTGCAGTCAACTCTTTGAGCTGTCTGTTCTTGAATCTTCACTAATTTGCCCCATCTCGATGCCAAACTCGTAAAAAAAGAAACTGACCAGCAGTTTAACGGAACGCCCATCATGGATACTGAGCAGTAAGGTAATGGAACACCCTTCTCTTCGATCACCGGCTCCAACCTTTCAAACCAAAAGGACAAAACTTCCCATTTATCTTCTACAGCTGCTTCCTTCTCCTCCACAGACCGGAAAACTACCAAACATGCATTTCTCGCATAACCCCATCTAACTACCTTAACATTGATTCCCTCTGTTCTCAATGCCCTTTGCACAAACTCAACCTCAAATATCCCTTTAACGATACCTGTTAATGAAGTCCTCAGCCATGCTCTTTCCTCCAAAGGAATGAAGAAATACATGTCGTTCTTCTCCTCTCTCCTGTCCCCAAGGTTTCTGGATTGCTGACCCTCATCTTTTTCACACCTACTACTGTATCCTTATATGTTCTGCCATCCTGGAACCTGTTCATCATCTCCTTCTTCCTAGCCTCAACCACTTGGCTAGATGCATTTTGCCTTTTCGTAACCTCGACACCTACAACTCCAGCCTCCACTACTCTATTGCGATTCAAGTTCCTCGGACCACTACTCCTCTGATATTTCGCAAAAGATACTAATATCCTCCTCCCATCAACAAGGACGTTGTTCATCTTCTCCTTCGCAGCAATCAAATCCTCCTTACTCGCAAAATGCACAAAAGCAAACGTCTTGTTCTTGTAGTTGGGTCTGCTATTAACAAACGAATAAAAACTTTAATCACCTTACCAAAACGGCTAAACCGATCCCACAATACCCTCCTATGCACTCTCCTACTAAGATTATCAACGAAAGCAACCCACGATCCTCCTACAGCACCTAACATTTTCCAACTCCTTCCTCCTTAATGAACTTCAACGAACATAAACTATTTAGAACCTAGGTTTCCGTTGGGAATGAGAGAACAGGCCTATAGAAGTAAAATAGCTACCCTATAATCACATGGTCCAACACTATTGTGCAGAAAAAGAATACAAATAAATACTTTTTTAGTTCCCCTGTGCCCCCCCAACAAACCAAAAATAATAATAATAATAATAATAAAACTAATTTCAGGTGATATTGAAACTATTTCATAAGTTAGCAAGCCAACTAAATTACGATAACCCATATACTGAGAAAAAAATGCACCAAAGCAAAGCTGACAGAAAAGAAGCTACATTCCTCACCTCTTCCTTCGGACACCATTCCTTAGGTCAGCACCCCTCTTATCCTCAGGATGTGGACTTGAACCCTTTGGTAGGTTATTCTTTGAGGACAGGTCCAAGTCTGCATCACCAGCCTTTCTTTCATCCCGTTCATCCTACAGTAGTTTGAGGTAAAGCACATGAGCCCAAATAATTGTAGAAGCCAGCTGAATGGCATAAAAACATAAACGGAAATTTAAAACCAAACAACCAACTATAAATATTGCAACCACAGCACGAAAATACTTAGTATTACCATCATCTTCCTCAATCTCTCTTGTTCACGTTCTCTACTTTCACCATCTTTCTTCTTCTGAATCTCATTTGCTATCCTATCCGACTCTGCCTGCAACCGTACATGACAACCACGTTATACACAAAACAAGATGAATACTACAAAATCAAGCCACACTCCTAAAACATTTAAACCTTTTTCTTCCTAGCTTCTTCTTCTTTCGCATCCAAGAACTGTTGAGGTACACCACTTGCATTTCTCTGTGCACTAAGCAGAAGAGTCCAAAGCTCCTTCATAAACTTGCCAGTATTCTTCTCCATGAATCCGGTGAGGGATATCTGAACTTGCTTGCCATTAACTTCCTGCACCGGAAGCAAGAACAAGGTGAATTATATTAGTAAACACTAAGCAGGAAGAGATGAGAATAAAGATACAGTCAACAGCTTAAAAAAGACTTATTGAGAGAATCTCTTTCCTTGTGCAATTATCCAGATAGCAAGAATTGTATCTTGAAATTCGACCAAAGAGCTAGCACTAGCAATATGACTTTCAAACCATAACAAAATATAAAAGTATACAGGCATTATCTTTTCTATATGCATATTTATATTACCTTCTCATCGAGAAGCCCATAGATAAAGTTAATAAGAACTTCATCTTCGAAACCAAGAAGCTCAGTCACCCGAGTAGCTATCCAAGGTCGAATAACATCCATCTTAACCTTGGTCATGTTAACCTACAAAGTAATAACAAATTCGCAAAACGCAATAAAATTAAGAAAAGAAAATTAACACCGCTAATTATATCGAAATCCTAATGGAATAAGAAAGCCAATAAAAAGTGCATTTAAAAGCGAACCAGATGCTCCAATTCGGGAGCAAATTTCTGCGATTTAAGTAGCCTCGCTTGCTTATTGGAGAACCGGGTATCCTGATCAGCCGAAGTACCCTATTCTTCAATAAGAAGGTTAATCAAAAACCGATGTAATTGCAGATCAGAATATTGCACACGAGAAAAAATAAAACAAAATAATTACCCGGAAAAATCCACCCGACATTTTTTAGGGTTTGGAGAGTGATTCTTTCGATGAGATGACTGTGATAGAAAACTTTTGTCGGAAGGAGCGAGAGATTTTTTCTCCAAGTTTACGCCATATGAGGTGCTTGGCTTTGGTGATTTAATCGAATCCAGCTAGAAGGTCGAACAAATATGTGTGAAGACGCGAGAGTGACAGACAACATCGCTTGATCTGGGATTCTAATAATGGGTTAACTTTGTAAAACGTCCTCAAACTATCATCTAAATTTTAAATAAATCCATTAATTTCAAAAAAAAAAATTAATTTTCAGAGTATCACATCTTTCCATCAAAATGTAAGATTGATCAAAGATTCTTCATGAAGTTCTATAACTCATTGCAAATGGATTGTATAATTTTGTTTATGCAAAAGATTTTGGTTGATTTATATATCTCATTGTTTTCCTCGTATATTTATACCTATTTAAACTTTCGTACCTAAATTATACCAATTTTATAAGTTTAGTACCTAAATTGTTTACAGTATTTTAATTTTTTTTAATAATACATAGCTTCTGATACTTAAGTCAGTAGTTTTATTCAAATATATCAAAAGAAAAAATATTAATAAGAATATGCAAACACCAGCTTTGTTTCAAAGAAGCTACAAATAAACACAAAAACAAAGAAGTTGTTTTCTTTTATTTTATTTTAATCTAATTAGTCGGCATCTCGAACCGACAAATAAGACAACGATGACTTTGTTTCAGCCATGTTTCGATGCAATCACCATGAAAGGTACGAGAACATGGCATTTGAGAAGCTTCATATCTAATTTGGAGTTTCTCCAAACATATAGTGTAGTTTTCTTCATCTCTATCTTCAACTTTAACCTTCTTTAGTATTTCTTCATCGACGACTCTTTACCTAGAATCATGTCATAATCAATACATTCAAACTCCAATATCAATTCTTCCAACATTAAATCTCCTCGTCTATCTATAATTCTATAGGTATTATTTGTATTTCATAACATAAATACAAGTCTACAATAATATTCCCTCTCATCTGTCTCTTTAACCATTAAGATAACTTGGTTTGTAATTATAAAATATATTATTGAAACTTTATATACGAAGATAACATTCAAAATTTAGAATTTAACCGAAAAATAAAAACATAAACAAATTTTAATCGATCATCTTGAAATAGTGTGAGAACCTCTCTTATAAACTTGTACAGGAATTATATAATTTAATGCAATTAACTAGTGAATAATAATGGGTCACTATGATTGATTATTTAACGAATAACAATATAGATGAATTATTACAATGAAGCTATTCCTTTAACTTGAGCTTGTAGGTCAATATGATGGGTAAGATGAACAGTTTACGTTTCCAACAACGTACTGATTTGAGATCCAATTTATATTATGAAATAAAACTCTTAAATCATACAACCGATATACTCACACACTAACATTTTAGTTTGAGAGCCAATTCAGGTTTCTGTTTGGTATTATGAGAGAATTGATATTGGGATTTAATCTAAAAAAAAAACATTCCACTGATCAAACTGCAACGTGCTTGATTTCAATAACAAAGGAGCGAAAAAGAAAAACACAAAAGTCGAATCTAATTAGTTGGCATCTGGAAGCGGCAAAGAGGACAAGAATGGCTTCGCTTCAACCATGTTTGAATGCAAGCATGATGGAAAATATGAGGACATGGCATCTGAGAAGCTTCAAACCCAACCATTAGCAGCTCTAAACATATGGCGCACTTGTCTTCATCTCCTGCTTCTTTTACCCTAACCATTCTCAACATCTCCTTAATCCATGATTCTTTTGCTGCAACCCTTGATTCTTGGTCCACCTCGTTTTCCACCACTAATGCTTGTATCACAGTATGTAAATACATGACCTCACAATAAGATCCCCGGTGAACCTTCATATCTGCGATTATAAATCCACGCCTGACGATTTCTTCAACGATGTTGTAATCAGTGGAGGATGAGTTGATGCCGAGTCTTGTGAATGCTGGACCAACTTCTTCATGAATCAGGTTGCGGCTTAGCAAGACGTCGAGACCAAAACAAAGAGTTTCTTGTAGGGGTGAATGGGTGGTGTAATGGCCCGTTAATGGATCACGGCGGCGGAGATCAATTTCAATGGTTACATTGATTTGGGTGAGGACGGGAGGTATATACCAAGGTTGATGGTTGAAGTGCAGTGGCTGAACAAGCTGGGAAACAACATTACACTCGTAAGAAAGAGAAGCCATTGCCATTCAACAAACTTGGACACCAATTATAGCTCTAACGTAAAAAACACACTAGAGTTTCATATTTATAAGGGTGCTGACAAGTATACGCTACTGTTTTACATGACCCTCGAGATTTTAAGTAGACCTGCACGCGGTTTTTACAATAATTAAAGGGTAAATTACCATTTATTACAAGTTTTTTAAATCAACTATGATTATTCAGTTGAATTAAGTCAACAGCTAGATTAATCGGGTATTGGCATCTCTTTAAAAATATTGGATTTAAAATAATTTACTTGTTCATCCATAAACTCCTAAATATATAGGTAAAGTACATAAATAATCCTTTAATTATAAGATGTTTTATTGAATCCTCTAACTACTAAAAGTTACAAAATAACCTCCAATTGTATGACATTATTTTCTTAAATTCTCAACTATTAAAAGTTACAAAATAATCGTCCGACTATTTATATGTTCTAAATTCATCAATTTTCGTTCAAAAGTTGACAACACATTAACCTGCTGATTACGATATGAGATCCAATTCAAATGACTGGCCGAAAACATTTTTTCTATTTGTTAAGATTAAGTTTTTATTTATATTATATACTACCACTCTACCAATATATGTTCAAATAAGCATGACTCAATTTTGTAGGGAACATTTGCTAGCGATGGTCGTTTGATTAACGTTTTGAACCTTGATGGTGTATAGAAATCAGAACCATGCTTTGATTGCAAAGATTGGGTTAGCTTTAAGGTAATAGCTAAACTCGAATTAAAATGAAAAATCCCTGTGGACCATCCAAAGATGACAAACAGTAAAGATAAATATAAACATGAACAAGTTGATGGCAGCAAGAAACAAACTGCAATTAAGAGGGAAAAAATAGAAATGTCATTAAGCGTACATCGAGGGGGTGAAACAGTGGCCTCGCCTAAACATCAACGGCTCTCCACAAGCCAACATTTTGTACAGTCCTAAACTCGGCATTTAAAATTTTTACCCGTAATAACTCCTCTGCATGGGGGGCACCAGTTGTATTCAACGACTGAAGCCTCGGGTTTGCTCCATCCTATGTATACATCTTAAGCTACAAAATGTACAGTTTCCCAGTACAAGCAACAACTTTTATTTCCATACAGACCTTACCAATCTAAAACGATAGGGGAAAGCTCTCATAATAGCTTCTGTTAGCTGTACAAACACATTATTTCCTACACCAACTAAGCTGCAGCAGGGGGTGGGGACTGAGCAGCAATTCTCCTTTCTGAAAAGCAAGCGAAATCACGTATTAGAGAGGCTTCAACTTATTACGGATCAAATTTGAATGGGTTTAAAAGAAAAAGTGAGTTTTAGTATAATAGCCCCACATCCAGTTAATAGGAATCATGGCACTTTGACAGCCATATCCCGCTTTATAGCTCAAATTCTAATGGTTTCATCAAAATGTAGTGATGAGTATGTATCGTACAATTACTATATTAGATGGAATGAAGTAAAAAGAACTATAGGTGAAATGCTTTCGTAAAGGAACTAATTTTACACCATGCATGAACAGATATATATATATATATGCATATATATAAACCAATAAGCAGTCACAGAAGACAAGGAAGAAATAGTACCCCCAGCAGCAACAAGTTTCTCTACACGCGCCACAATATGTTTTCCATAAGTGTACTTCTTCAATGCATTTAGATGGACCTTAATTCGAGAGAGGATCAGCTCCCGTTGCTGATCATCACAAGTCTCCAGTACTTTTTGTACAACGTAGTTCGCAAATTGATCTTTCATCATTGCCTAGAATAAACAGATGGATGTCAACAAAATTGACTTCGATGATAAACAATTGTGGCATTCCTGACTGTACAAGAAATTGATTTGCTCAAGCAGGCGTTCAAACCCAGCTTATAAATATGAATATACGAATGCATAGTTCTCACCAACAAGGAAGATAACCATATTCAGCCAAAACCGAGCACAAATAATAGCCAGTTATGGTTCACGGCATTTCTCCAATGATTTGAGACGTTTTTATGCTCAAAAGATAAGGACTTAAAAATCTGAAAAAGAATTTCTATTCACAGGTGCAAAATCATATGGACAAACCTGAAGAGGCTCATTCTCATCCGTAGAGCCAAGCATTTCGTTTACCAATAGCTGACGTTCAGAAGGACCACCGAAAGTTAAGCACTTCTCAACAACGTTAGAGGCAAACTTCTGCCGACTCATCTGGACAATCTTTCCAGCTAACTCCTTAATTATAATTGAGCGCTCATGAGGCTTTCCATGCTCCAGTACATGCTGTTATGTGAATGAAAAGGTCAGTCCATGCGTCAAGCGGTATAAGAGATGGCATAGGGATAGCCAACTAATGACAAAAATAAACAAATTGCAAGATACACTGCAAAAATAAATAAAAAATATCACCAAAATATGCAAAATAGAAGTTTCCAGAAAAGAATCACAACCTGGACAACATAATTGCCATATTGGTCCTGGGCCAACATGCTAACAGATCCTAAAATTTCATCCATAACCTTACTCTGTGTTTTTGGGTCCTTGCAGTGCTCTAGTATTCTCTGCGGTGTTAAAGAAAAAAAGGTTCAATACAGAACAGACATCGATTACTCTTAGCATAAGACAGTTCTGAAGGCCAAAATGAAAGCAAATATACAGTTGAACCTGTATCACTCGGCACCCATATGGATGAGCAGAAAGGGTCACAACTTGATCAAAAAATGTTGTAACTATAAATTGAATGTTCTCCTCAGGAACACATTCAATACATTTCTGGATGACATGGTTGCCATTCTGATCACGTACACAACGCATCACACCACAATCAAGCTCTTGAACCATTTTAATCTTCTGATCCAGATCAACAACTTCTATGGCCTTCAATGTAAAACAAACCATTTAGAAACATATCAATTAGCATGAGCACTTGTACGAAATCCACACAAATGGGCAAACCAAATGGGAAAATGCATTAAATGAGTCTAGATAAATAGCGACCATATATAGAAATACCTTCTGGATCACCCGACACCCATACATTTGAAGACCAAGTGTTAAAACATGACCAAAAAGCTTGCTGGCAAGTTCTCTTCTCTGACTTGGAAGTCCATGCTCAAAAAACTGTACAATTATGGTTTCATTTGGTAAAGACGAGAAACCATAAAATTGCAAGACTAAGCAAATATGCAGCAGATACCTTTTGAATAACGTAATTACCAAAGACGTCAGTCATCAAAGCAACAGCTTGAGGCATGATTTCCTCATAAACCATAGTTTTCTCTTCAGTTGTGGCTGTTTCAAGTTTTTGCTGAATAAAGCGGCTGCCATACTGATCCACGCTGCTCATCAAAAGCATATAAATGTCAGGTTGACAGTGTAACAACATAAAACATGATTTGGGCTACAAGAATACCTGAACTCAACAACATGACCAGCAATCTCTGAAAGTTCAAAACACTTTGTTTTATTGCTCTTAAACTCTTCAAGTAGGGAGGAAGCAAAGCTTTCATCAGGATCCAAATGCCAGGGTCCCATGACACCCCCAGCTAGGTTCCTCATCCCAGAAGAAAAACGCATATTCAGATCAGTGTGTCTGATAGGACTATCAGGTCCAACAGGGTAATTTGGAATAACAGCACTTGCTAAGGGGCTTCCAGTATAAGACATGCCAGCTCCAAAGGTCGTATTTCCATAAAAACCATGGAGATTAGAACTACCAGATTTTGCACCCAAAGGAAGACCATACTGGGATTTCTGGGGTGATAGTAGAGCTCCAAGATAAGCTTTTTGAAGCTCAAGCAAGTTCATGTATGAATTACCAAGGAAATTCCTATCCATGGAGGGATCATTTAGAGCTGCCTGCTGTGAGGCAGCAAAATCAGATGTCCTTAGATACTGAAGATACAAAGGATCGATAGAAGGTGCATTCAGAGCATTCCCGGCGATTGGGCTTCCGACTCTACCAAGATTATGGGACTCAGAAGCAGAATTTGAAATGTTTTGTCCAAAACCGAAAGCTCCTCCAAGCACTCTGGAGCCCATTCCAGAGACTTCCCTAGCTGATGCGGCGGCAACATTTTCATGCAATGGTGGCAGATTACTGGTTCCAAGTTGGTTAGGCATCATATTGGCCAAAGAAGGATCTAAAGCGTAACCACTTAACCCATAATTTGGAAATGACACATTTGCACCATCGCCATGCTGAAACTGAGCAGGTAAGCTGCCACTGCCATTGAGAGCTGAAGAGGGTGATCCTTTCGAATAATAGTTGTTTGATGGAACAGCAGATTTCTGGAGCACAGATCTGCTCCCATTACTCTTAGCTGAAGGCATATGTAAATGGCCAGATTCTGATTTCTTCAAGTAAGCCTGCTGTTTGATATGATTCTGACCATCTTGCAAACCAAGTAGATAATTCTTGCAATTTTCAACATCTTCTTTGATATGTGATGCTAACTGGTTATCTTCATCAATAACACCATTTGATGACAAGTTCATGACTGATAAAGCAGCCACGAGATCCTCAGACCCTTTGACACTAGATATGACACCACCAAATGCACTTGGACTATTTACGTTTCTTTTCTCAGAGTTGCCAGCTCTGCCTCCTCCAATTGGTGTCGGACAAGGACTAGGGGCCCTAGCTATGTGTTGGGGATCAGGAGTAGTACTCCTAGACATTGAAGTGCCTACAACAGCAGCATAAGTATATGAAGAAGGCAGCCCAATGTTATTGACAGCAGACGATCCCTGACCACTTCCACTTGACCTTAAAGGATCTGCAGAAGTCAGTTGACGACGCAAATGAGCCAGCTCAGATTCAGCAGAACCTACATTCTCAAAGTTCTCATCAAAAGCATTACGACTGGCAGAACGAGATGGTATCCTGGTGACTGGAGCAGTGTGTCCTAGATCATCCTGCAAGGATTCTAGATATTAGTTCATTGAACAAAAGAAAAAGGCAAAGCTAGAGAAGTTTCTGAAATTTTACCAAAAAGAACTTGGTCTTGATAGTTATATAAAAAGCCAAGGAATTAGGAACATGTTGAAAACCTAAACGAGAAAGATTCATGTAGCTATTTGCAAACCAAGACACAATTGATCACATATATGCCTGCCAAGTTTTACACATAGTACCTATCAGTCATAGATATGATTTAAAACACATAATTATATTTGCAATCGAACACAGCTAGTACCATAAAGATATTCAAGCATAATACACGTCAAAAAACATAAAAATTAAGTGGAAAAAATAACTAAAAATCTAATAAATGCGTAATCTTTGGATAAGCAAATTATTATCAGCAGCAAACGGCAGAGAGTGTACAGAATCAAAAACCTAAGAACTGAAACTTATGGTAAAAGTTTAAACTAGCATAGGTTATCACCTGAAAATTTCCGGCAAAGCTTTTCTGTTTGCTTCCGAGTCCTATAGCAGACAAACCAATGAGTCCATCCCCACCCCAGTCTGCTGAGGCCGAGCTAAACACTTTATCCGCCTCTGCTTCATTCTCTTGTTTCCTGGAATCAAATCCCGGTGGCATCGCAAACAACGACCTACTGCTACCGTTATCAACCCTATTCACTTTCCTCCTATCTCCAATCCCACCTATAGCTAAATTCTCTCCCTTCAACCTCTGCGCAAACTTCCAATCCTCCTTGGAAAGCAATGGAGGTGGGAGCCTTGGGTTAAGATTCACGTTTGAGTAATAGTATGAATGATAAGCTGGATCAGACCTGAGTTCTTCCTCAGATGCAAACCCATTTCCATTTTTAGCTCCAGCAAAAGCTGAAAAGGAGGTGGTGGCGCCGGAACCAGCTGCAGCTCCTCCCGCAAACAAACCGCCGACTGCACTCAGTGAGCCCTCCACGGTAGGAGGTGCGGAGCCACTTCTATACAAGTTTAGTTCGCGTTCAAGTTCATCAGCCTCTTGCCTACTATGCTGTTCACGGGGTAATAATCCTATCTCTTTCTCCAAATCATCCCCAAATGATTCTTCGCTACTTCCTATCATTGGTCTACTATCCAATTCAGATAACATTCTTTAAAAAAACCTAATTGATCATCTAAACTCACAAAACCAATAATCAGCCTCTAAACACAACAAACAAGCCTAAACTTTTCCTACACCGATATCCCTAAAATCCATATTTACAAACTAAAGATTCTCACTTTCAACTACCAAATTTGTCAAAGATCAAAACTTTAATCTCTCTAAGCTCAAAAACAGCAAAAAAGGAAAAGAAAAGAAAAATTAGCTCCCCGAGAATCAAACTAAGAAAACAAAAACAGCAAAGCACCCAAATTTTATATATTCCTCAAGATTGGATATGATAAATCATCCTACAAAAAACAGATTAGAAAGTCATTATTTCCAAGTAAAAATAGAGCTAAAAACAAAGAAGGATAGCTTGGAGTAAAAAGAAGAAGACAAAATTGGAAGCTGGGATCAAAGAAGAGAGTGAAAGTAGTTTAAAGATATATGGGAAAGAATAGACGGCTGAGATCAAACGAAGCGGCGATTGTTTCTTGCAATAACCCTTTTAGGGTTTTTGCAATTCAGGATTAAATACAGTTAGATATTTTTATATAAAAAAATTGTTCTTCCTTCTTTAGCTTTGGTTTTTTATTTTTTTATTAAAAATGAGATTATTTATGGATGAGTGACCAAGTGACTGATGAGGAACATCAAATTCATCATTTAAAAAAATATATTTTGTTAAATTGAATATATTAACTATTATATGAGCAAAATACCTTCTCTCCTGGTTTTCCACAACTCATGGTTGTCAATTAGTGTTATCACTGAAATCTTCCCTCACTCTAATTTTTGGAATAATTTGATGGTTTAAAGTGGATTGCATGATGAATAGATTTTGTTTAGGAAACCAACATGTGAGGCTTCAGCTTAGCATTGAATAAGTGAAAGTCAAGGTGAATGTAGTTAAAATATCCAAGCCCCTTTTGTTGTGTTACTTTTTTAGTTTCCCACATGGGATGCGTCTGTTTTCATTACATTAACTCATCGTACATCTTTGTGTTTGTTCTACTCTACTTAAGGAAACCCCAGAATTCACTTCAGCTTTCATCTGCCTTTCAATCAAATCCAAATTTCCTTCATTTTTCTAAATCGTTTTAAAAAAAACTCAAATTAAAATTTTATATTTTTCAATTATATTCATGACGTCCGAATTTATTATTATATTAATAACATTCAAAAATAGAAAATAATTTTAAGAAACTATTTATATGTTTGATTATAAACATTTTTAATTATTTTCTTTATTATTATCAAATTATTGGTGTTATGGGTTAATATGAAAAAAAATTAAATAAAATACTAACTTCCAGTGTGATAAATTGTTTTTCTTTACCATATGCAGTGAAGAGGTTGTGGGTTGGGTATTAGTAAGGGAATTGAAATCTGTGAAGAAATTAGAATCTGTCGGGAATTGGAATCCAATTTCATATTCTGTTTGGTTCGCAGACATGTCAGATGAATTTGATTTCATTAATATAAAATGGCAGATTGCTCTTCTTATTTTTTTGCTTTATTTTAGTTTGTTTTACAACTTATATGTAGTAATATATTATAAAAATTAAAAATATTAAATTTTTCATTTTATTGATTGATTATTCATTTCTATAAATTATAAAAATCATGTTTATAAACATCATAAGTTAAAATCATCGCAATCAAAATATGTTAATAAGTTACCAAAAGATAGAGTAATATTTCGATACATTCCAATCGGAGTATATTAATTAGTTACCAAAAACTATTTTTATTTAATATATGAATTATAAACCCGACCCGACACGACACAAAATAATAAAAAAATTATTTTTATTCAATAAAAACATTGACTTAATTGGAAAAAAAATTATATATAGAGGGTATTATTGTAATTATTCCTAAATATATAAGATAAAATTATATTTTTTTTCAGGTCGGTCCGGTTTTTTCACCCTGAACCCGAACCTGACCGACCCAAATATCACACTTAAAAAAACCCGACCCGACTCGACCCGAATATCACACTTAAAAACCCGACTCGAACAAAATAAAGTTTCACCCTACCCGACCCGAATATATGAATTATAAATCCGACCGACCAAAAATAAGAAAAAAAATATTTTTATTCAATAAAAACATTGACTTAATTGAAAAAAATTATATATAAATGGATATTATTGTAATTATTCTTAAATATATAAGGTAAAATTATATATATTTTCGGGTCGCGTATTTTTCACCCTAAACCCGAACTCGACCCGACCCGAATATCACACTTAAAAACGACCCGACCCGACCAAAATAAAGTTTCACCCGACCCGAATAAATGAATTATAAACCCGACCCGAAATAATAAAAAAATATTTTTATTCAATATATGAATAAGTTACCAAAAGATTGATTAGGGTAATATGATCAAATTTCAATTCCCTCCAATAAGGAAATTGAATTCCATCCATTTTCCCTTATTTGATGGAAAGTTGAAGCCATGATGAACTCTAATTTCCTTTGAAAAATTAAACCAAATATGAGAAAATTATGAAATTAGATTCCATTTCTCCTCAATTTCAATAGATTTCATCTATCCAAATGCTACCTTATCTCATAAGGTGATGTGTGGCTGTCAAATGAGAACCTTGCACAAAATGTACTGCCCATTTAAAGCATTAATTGCTTACCTTCGTTTGAGTTTTCCCAATAGAAATTAAAGCCGGTTTTACCCACTTTTCTATTCCACACTTTACATCAATTACCCTATAGAATGCCAATTTATTTAACTAACTAATTACTTAAACCTAATTGTCTTCTTCACTCAAGAGTTGACTTATATCAACAGAAGGTTCCTGTAAAATTTTGATTTGATTATCTTCAAAATTGACACTCCTTACTAATTTATCAATAATTTTATTCCTTTCTCTTCAGACACGTTACATTCTGACGTTTCAATCCCGGTTTATCAGTTCCCTTATGTGTGGTATTATGATAAGATTTCCTTCTTTGTTTGTGTTGTATTAATCAGAGGTAAATATAAAATAATATTTGTTCAAATATAACTCTAAATCATTTTATATTAAACTTTTATACTCCTTGCATCCCTAATACTTGAACTCAAAATTCAACAAATAAAATAATTCTTTTATTACAGATATTATTTGTTTAGACTAACAGATAAGTTAGATTAATACGGCAGTTGCGGCAGCACCTAACTTCCTGCTCCATTGAAATTACTAGATAGACTGCTATAAAAAAAATAAACATGTCCAAAGGTGAAATATTACATAAAATCTTTAAATAATTTAAGTAAATTTAAATTATTATCCAATGGTTAAATTTTTTTTATTTTGATTTTTATTACGTAAATAAATAAATAACTTGAGCTCAGGAGCACTTTAAAAACACCAGAACAAAGCGTTTGCAAACTTTGTTTAGGTTAGAAAATTTAAGGTGAATTAGTTCTTTCAAAATACTAAAAAAAAGACAATACTTTTACGTGTTCGGCACGATGTGTTGTAACGAAATCCATTAGATTATTTATATAAGTAATATAATGTTAAATACATACGAAATTGAGAAAAATAGTTTAATAAATGAAAAGTGCCAAACAAAACCTAGATAGGGAGGAAATGATAAGATATATTTTTCATGTGCCGTCCATCCACCCACCCACCACTTATATATATACATATGCTGCTTTTAATACTTTTGGTTAAGGCACGTGAAAGTTGCAGTTTAATGTTTGGTTTATCTCTTGTATTTATATTACAAAACAATATAATAGCATTAACGTGCTGTTCTGATTTCACGTGTATGAGTTTCATTGGTATAGTAATATGGGTATTTGGGATAGGTAAATGCAACTTTGTTTTGAATTAAACGATGACTCATTAATTGTATTTTTTAAAAATTATACTTAAATGTATAATAAAAACCAAAATGAATATAGTGTTCCCAAATGATTAAGGTGAAAGAAACATGTCAGAGTAAATAAAAAGAGTTTGGGAGTGGCATGGCATGATCCAAGATTGTCAAAGTTTGAAGGTTTTTTCAAGGTAGGTTAGTTTGAAATGCTTGGGGAAGTTTTAGGTACATATTTAGGTACTTGTCTTGATGTTTCAACAATGTCATGTTGTTCTGTTGCCACGTTAGAAGAAGCTATTTGTTTTATGCAGACAGGTACTATTTGGTGGTGGATTCCAATGTCACTTAAACCTTTTCTTCTTCTTTTTAACATCAAACAAAACCATGTTAGTTGGGATATTATTCTTTGGGTCTTCACCCATTATTTGGATAAGAACCACATCTGTCTTGGACATGTCCATATTCCAAGTTGGAGCAGTATGGATTTGTAGTCAGCATGATACCACTATAGGATGCTGATGCTGATGCTGGGGAGGTACCTGTTGAGACTACAGGTATAGCAGCTCTTACAACATAAATCCATATTTTCACCTCTCTTAGTTACGATATCCCAACTTTAAAAACAAATGGATTTCGAATATGATATTTGATCTTTGAATGTATAAACATTTGTATACTATTTGTGGCCCGAACCCGTAACAGGTTTCCAACATGAAAGAGCATTAATAACTCTCCCCTTCCATCCCTGCAACATCCAGCGGCCATCCACATCTACAACAAAATCTCTATGATAACTATATCGAACCATATCCCTCACTTTCTTCACCAGCTCCTGATTCAATGGAACCTGCTTGAACCCTGCCCTAAGAGTCTGACCCTGCCATTGCTTGTTCGTCTCTGGCCTTTCAACCCTCCATTACCCTCGCATGCAACGGCGTTCATAATGTCCCTCCCATGTGCTTCCCTCTCAAACATCATCCTTTTAGGATCACCCCGGTCAACAGTAGCTTCAAATTTATCCAACTCAGCAGAGAAATGGAAGAGAGCCTCCCAGAACCTAGTGACGAAGAATGGAGCATTGTATGTCCCGTTTGCCACCCCATGGATTAATAGTTTTGGATTTATGCTTCTGATCAGTTTCAAACGACGTCTCTAGCACTGGTTGGTGCCACTGTGTCATCTGGGAAGTTCTTTAGCCTATACAAGCAGTTAACAACCACCACTTCATCTTTCTTAATCTATAGCTCCTCAAGTTGGATGGTTTCCCATTTCTTAGCTATCACGTTGTACTCGAACGGGACATTGAATCTTTCGCATACCTTTTCAATCGGCGCCCTGTCTCTTCCACCCTTTCTGCTGGTCGGAAACCTGGTTGCGGGAACTCGATAACAGTTATACGAAGCTTGCAAGGTCCACCAGCCTGCGCTGAGAGGCGCTGGATGAGACAAGGCCATTGGAACACGTAGCAAATGCCAACATCAACAATGATGAGCGTGGTTGCCTTTTCAC